CCTTGCACACGCACACGGGCGTGCATAGAGACACACACCCCTAGGCGCGCAGATCGGGGTCCGTGCTCCTCTCCCGTAGCCCCTGGGCACGGGCTCGGGAACTCCGCGGTGCTGAAGTCGGGGTTTGTACCCGCAGCGTTAACTCCTTGTGCGTCCCCGTCGTTTGAGGTGCAAGGTTTCGCCACGGGTATTCCATCAACATTTCCGGACAGCCGCGCTGAGTTCAGGGTTTCCTCCTGGCTGCGTGCAGAGCTGTTCCAGAAACAGGGATGCACTGCTTCGCAGACTCCATGTGCCACTTGCTGGTGCCCGAACTTGGCGGGTGTGGAAGGGCTGGTGCGTCCTGAACTCTCCGAGAGACGAACCGAGTGTTGTGTGCTCCTGTGGGTTCCCCGCGGGGTGTGCAACGTGGCGTGACAGGACTCACTATGGGTTCAGCACACACTGCTGTGACCCTAGTTCACATGGAATAACACTCCAAACTCGGTGCTTAAATTAACAGATCTAACAAGGCAATGTCTGTCTGTCTGTCTGTCAGGCAAGGGGATGGATCAGTGAAGCATTTGTCTTTCCAGATCCATAAGAAAGCTCTGTGAAATGACTCCCTCCTGAAACCCGTGTTGCCATTCACTTGTTGCTGCCAGACGTGTGCCTGGGCCATGGCCTGCACGGTTGGAGTTGAACGAATTCTTGTGAATCCCTGTGAATTTGAATCTTTGAATGTATGTCTCTCTTTGGGCCAGGTGTGATGCTCAGCTGGGTCCAGGTCCCCCAGCCACGAGCTGTGATCTCAAATGCAGAGCCAATGACACACGTTGTTCCTCAGTGACATCAGTAAATACGAAGTTGTGAATGAATGTTGCTATCAGAATAGCTTTCCCAGGGCTTAAAAATATCTGAGTAAAGTCGTATGAAGCCCCAGTAGTTTCTCATGATAATATTCTTGCCTAGGAGTGTTTAAATAAGAGTTTTTACAGTGCTTGGATTTCTACCATGAGCTATTTATATCCCTGCATAGGTGATGTTGTAAAAATATGTGATCTCCAAGTAATTCTACAGAAGAAAGCCATAGCTGTATTGCCCTAGACTTCCCAAGTGAGAGGCTGAGAGCTGCACACCCTTGTCTGTACCCAGCCTTGATTCCTCTGACTTGCTCCATCTTCTCCTCCCAAGCCCATATGCTGCAGATCCACTTCACAAAATCCGAGGGAGAAAGCTGGTTTCAGATGCGGGGGAGTGAAAGAGCAAGGGAAAGACAAAATAGAAGAGGACGAATATTTAGGAGAACAAAGAATTTGGGGACGGGCTGCCCAGGGAAGTGGTGGTCACCATCCCTGGAGGTCACGGAGGTGTAGATGTGGTGCTGAGGGACACGGTTTAGTGCTGGGCTGGGCAGTGCCGGCTTAGTGCTTGGAGTTTATGACCTTAAAGGTCTCTTACAGCCCAAACGGTTCTGTCCTCCTGCGGTTCTAGCCCACCTGAGGGCCAGGCAGAGAGAGAAACGGGCCCCACCGGGACCCCCTGCCGTGTCACTTGTCGCCGGGGCCGGGGAGCTGGG